TTGGGATCAACACACCCGACTCCCAGGAGCTGCCTCTGTCGGATCTCGAGCAGGACAACAACGATCTTTGGATCCAGGAAGGCCGGATGCTGGAGATGCCGGGACCGGTGCAGATGTGCAACACATGCCATGGCATGGTGCACCTGATGAGGCTGCCCAACAACAAGTTTGTGTGGGGATGTCTGGGTGGCGACCCCAGTTGCCAGTACCGCTGGCAGCAGGACGCTGGGAACCTGCCACTGGCATCGAATGTGAAGCTTTGCTTGGCATGTCAGAAGACGGCGCTGGAGGAGGTGATGGAGCGAGGTCGCCAGGCTTTCCGGTGCCCGCTGTGCAACGACCTGACCCTGGAGATCGAGTGGGCTCAGGTGATGAAGGAGTTCGAGCAGCGGGGCGGCTACAATGTGAATCTGGCGACCACGGAGGAGATCAAGAGCTCAGGTCCCATGGCACGCTGATTGGCTGGCTTGGTCAGGACCATGTGAAGAACGCCCTTCCAGGAGCCGAGCAGGTGCTGGATTTGGTTGCGGTGCATCGTGCTGTGGTGCATAGCTTCTATGGTCAGGTGATTCCGGGTCAAGCTCCGGTTCGGAGCCGTCCATCTGTGGGCAAACGAGTGATTCTCACTTCCCCGGAACCAGGACTGTGGAACGTGGTGAATGTGGATCCCGGCGGTGTCTACGACTACGACCTCGGGATGCCAATGAATGCCTACGTGATCCAGGAGTTCTCAGAGGACTTTCTGAATTATCTCTTCGACCTGGACCTCGAGGCTGTCGAGGTGACTCTGGACAAGGGGACCAAGAAGAAATTGATGGAAGCCATTGACCGCACGGCACCGGATCAACAAGGATACTTTGAACTGTGGGAAGATGAAGTGAGTGAAGATCCGGTCGATGACGATCCTGTTGATTCTGTTCAAGTTTTTGGTGCCCGAACCCGTGACGTGCATCCTGGTAGTCCTGCCGGTGCACTCCTCCGCAGACCGGTGCCACCATCATCCGCTGCTGATATCGAACTCGGTACCTCTCCGATGGAGATGCAGTGGAGTCAGAGACGGTTTCTACCGGTCGATGTGGAATGTGAGATCCTCGTCCGAGACATGAGGGACTTTCGAAGCGATGTTGAACATATGTGGCGCGACTACTACGGCCAGGCCATGTATTTGTCTCTTCGGCCTGCACGTGCTCTACTACCTCAGATTGGCCCAGGACATCGGAATGTTCGATGGACAGTGGTGAAGACAGGGCCCAAGGAGTGGCGATGGATTGAAAAAGGGGCTACTGGACCCTGGCACCCCGAGGCCCGGAAGCATGAAGTGACCATTGTGCTGTACTATTGGCCCGAGGTTCCTCAAAGTCAAGTTCTGGCCAGCGGGTATGACATCACCGATCGCGAGAAATCGGAGGTGCTGAGATGTCACGTGAACCTTGGCCATCCCAACAAGCGGGAATTTGCCCGCCTTCTCAAGGCCTCTGGCACTCGACATGACATTGTGCAGTACATTCTCAGGGAGTTCGAGTGTCCTGGGTGCATCGCCGAGAAGCGTCCGCCTACACGGCTTCCTTCGGCAACCCCGCGTTGTTTTGATTTTAACATCGTCCTCGGGGTCGATATCCTGTTCATCCATGGAGCCAACGACAAGGCCGAACATCCTGTCTTAAATGTGACGTGTTTGGGAACTCTGTACAGTGTGTTCGGAGCAGTGGACCATCGACGGCGATCAGCTGACCTGGTCTGGAAGGCCTTCGTGACGCTGTGGCTTCGTGTCTTTGGGGCCCCAGCCTTTCTGATCTACGACGAGGGCAATGAATTCGTGGGCAAAGCCTTCCAAGACGGTCTCGAACAACACGGGATCAGACCGGTGGAAATAAACCGGCAAGCTCCGTTCGAGCTTGGTACTGTGGAACGCCGGGGAGCTCTCTTCAAAGATGCGTACTACCGCACACGTGAGCTACGACAACCGCTGGACTTTGCGGAGACCGAGATGATCATCTACGAAGTGAGCTGGGCTATTCAGACGCTGACCAATCGGTCTGGTTACAGCCCTGCTCAACGAGTCTTTGGCCGTCAACCACAGGTGGCGCTGGACTCACTGGCAGATGGTGGCGAGTTCAACATCAGTCCCACGGCTGATGCCGCGTGGCAACGAGCCCACGAGTTGCGAACTGCAGCTCGCAAGGCCTTAATTGAGGTCGATGCCCGCTCTCG